GTGCTAGTCCCTTAGGGCCCGGCAGGGCTGCGCGCGGCCCGAGGCGGTGGGCAATGGTGACAGGAGGCTGCTAAGTCCTACAGACACTAGTTACAATATACGAGTTGAGTGTTAGCAGGGCACCGCGTCCTCAGCGCGTCCCAGAGCAGCCCGTTTCCTCGTGCTTGTGGAGCAGTGACATACGGGAGAAAGTCCGGGAGCAGGTTTTGCACTGGTACTTCTTTACATCTGAATGGGTCTGCAGGTGGGCGCGCAGATTAGAGCGGTCAGCGAAGGCCCGGTTGCAGTGTGTACAGGAAAAGGGCTTTTCACCTGTGAGACAAAGAGAAACGTTCCCAATTAACCAGTGCATCAACACACAGAGAATATCAAAGACCAGGGCATTCATTAGCCAAAGTTTGTGGGGAGCAGCGTGAAAAGGAATGCAGGCTGTTAGTATTCGGCCCAGGAGCCAGCGCTGCACAGCCTGCATTCACTCAGAGGAAAAGCCTCAGAGTCGGGAATTTCCTACTCAGAGAAAAAACTCTGGTCGGAACCCCACAAAAACGGTGCCAGTAACATCTGCGAGTGGCAAGGCAGCTCGGCTTACAAATGCAGCCACGACATTGAGCTGCGGCCCAAGCTAAGGGAGCCGTCTGCGGAGCGGCAGGGAGGCGAAGCTCTGTTAATTATATCATAGCGGCTGAAAGCTGCCGGCTCCAGGGTGAGTGCAGCTATTTCCTCTGCGCCCGCGCTCCCCCTTCTCCTTCCCGGCTCGCATTGAAAAGCCCGGCCGGGGTGAATTCCCCTCAAAGGCTCTTTCGGAAGAAACAAACGCGTATGCTCAATTTGGAAAGCACAATCGAGCCTTCCCGGCTTCCTTCAGCCGTCATCTTTAGTACGCTGAGAGGGTGTGAAATCAGTGCCAAGCGACAATTAAACTGTCCCGGTAGCACCACAAAGGATGCTCGGGAGATGCATTGTAGGCGCGGGGCGGGCTGCAGCTGCGGCCCCGCACAACAGGTGCAGGGGGCAGCCACCAGCACCTGCCCCACGCACATCCCAAACCTCCCGGTGCCCCGGGGAGCACATGGAGCCCACGGAGGTGGGCTGGGTGCTCAGGCAGAGATGCTTCTGGCACAGCGTGAGGCACCCCAGTGGCACGTCACAGCCCTGGTTCGTGAAATTCATGGCGAGCACGTGCCGGCAGCTCAGGGCTGGCTGGTGCGGCATGGATTTATGGGCTGAGCCTTGACCCCACACTCGGTTCCAGACAGGAGGATATTTAAAGGACGTTTTAGAGATGTGCTGAGGGGGTTTGGGAAGCCCTTATCTTCCAAGATAATACCCCAACTGCTGATTTGCTTCGGGCTGCAGAGCGGGGAAGCCACGGGCAATAGGGGAAGGAGGGAGAGGGGCGAGAGCCAACATTACCGGTGTGCGTCCGGATGTGGCCCTGCAGCAGCCAGGGCCGGGAGAAGGCCTTGCCGCACATCTTGCAGACGCAGGGCAGCGTGTGGCTCCGGATGTGCATCTTGAGAGCCCCCAGGCTCACATACTCCTTCTCGCAGTACTTGCAGCTGAAGGATTTCCTGGTCTGGGCATCGCAGTGCAATTGTTTGTGCTTGGAGAGCCCGGCGAAGGTGGAGTAGGCCTTGGCGCACTGGGCGCAGCGGAATCGCTCAGCGGTGGCGGGGGCTGAGGTCGGGCTGGGAGGCCCCGAGCTCTTGCCCTCGTCCTCCTCGCTGGAGAGCACTGTCAGGTCCAGGGCCGGCGCCGCGCCGCCCGCTGCCTCCGCCTCGGTGCCCGGGCCAGCCGGGAAGAGGCTGGAGAGCAGCCCCGCGTCCCACACCAGCGGCGGGTAGTAGGCACCGGGGCCGAGCACCTCGGGCGGGGGGATGACGGACAGCGGGCACGTCTCGTACAGCAGCGGGGCGGCCAGCACTGTGGGGACAGGCAGCACTCAGCGGGGTGCCCAGCCCCTGAACGGGGCAAGGGGACCCCAACCCACCCCATGGGGGGCTGCGCACCCAGAGGAACTTGGTGCCTGAGCCACACCACGGGGCTGTGCAACCCTTCCGGGGCAGAGGAACCCAACCACATCCCAAGGGAACCTCCATGCCCCAACCGCCCCAAAGCCAGAGGAACCCCAGGGACCCCAACCCACGCAGTGAGGCACACCAGCCTACCCTGGGGAACACAGCCCCACCCCACAGGAGCTCAGCACCCAAAGGCAAGGGAGGTGTCAGAAGGGGCCCCTGCCCACCCCGCATTACGGGGTCCGCACCGAACCCACCCCATGGGGAAAGCCCCCGGGGTCGCGTCCCCGCTCCCCCACCCACCCCACAGGGGGAGTCCCCTGGGGCAAGAAGCACGGGAGACCCCAGACACCAACCCACCCGTGGCAATTAACAAAACTAACCGCCCAGAGGCAGGCAAAAAACCTCCCGGCCGCTCCCCCCCGGGGGACAGAGGCGCCCCCGCGCCGTGCAACAGCCCCAAGCCGTCGGGGGGGGGGCCCGGCACAGCACGCACCGGTCTGGCTCTCCAGCTCGCTGTAGTTCGGCTTCTTGCTGGCTGAGAAGTGCTTCTTCACCAGGAAGGAGCGCGGCATCTTGCAGCCCCCGGTGCCGCCGCCCGCCGCGGGGCCGCCGCGTCCGTTAATATGGGATCGGGGCCGGGGGGCGGTGCGGGACGGGGCCGCCCCCGGCTCCCGGAGCCAATGGGGCGGGCGGGGAGGGAGCCCGGCAGGTGCCGGCCCCAGCCCCGGGGCCGGGCCGGGGGGAGCGGAGGTGCCGCGGGCGCCGGGAGGGGGGACCGGGGGTTGGGGACCGGGACTGGGCATTCGCCGCTGGTGGGGGGCGGTTTGGGGTCCTCCGTGCAAAGCCCAGCCCGGGATCCCCTGGAGATGCTCCCCGGGGAAGCCGGACACCAAACCTCTGCGTCCTGTCCCGTCCCTGCTCTTCCCTTCCCATTCTTTCCCTTATGCCCTTCCCATCTCTTTTTTTTTTTTTTTTTCCTCCTTCCCTTCTTCCCTGCCCTTTCCATCCCATCCCTTTTTCCCTCCCCACTGCCCAACCCCAGCTCTGCCCCCCCGGAGCCCGGCACCTGCTGGGCGCTGTTTGGCCACAACCCGCCCCAAATGCAGAAGTAGAAGCGAGGCTCTTGGGGGCGACACAGCTGCAGCCCCCCCTTCCCCGCCCCATTGCTTGGAGCCGCATCCCTCCCTCCTCTGCTGCCGGACTACCCTTGGCTTCCCGCGGGTGTTTCCCCCTGGGATTTGCCCCCGGGGGACCGGGGCCGCAGCTCCCCCGTGGGTGCGCTGATGGGGCTGGGACCCCCCCGAGGTGTGGGGTTTTCTCTGCGGGACCAGCAAAGCCAGCTCCTGCCTTGGTCCTGCAGGTTGGTGGGTGGAGGGAGGGGAAAAAAAAAAGACCAAAAAAAAAAAAAAAAAAAGGAAAAACACAAAACAAGCTAACAAACACTTTTGCCGGAGGGAAAATCCGGATGCCGGAGAACGAGCAGCAGCCGCCCCTTGTGCCCCCCGGCCGGTGGGGAGGAGGCCCGGTACCGGGGTCCCGGCGGCGCGCACGGGGCTCCCTCTGCTGGCAGCACGGGACCGCCAGAGCCCAAAAAAAGGGGCACAAAATTTTCGTCAGACCGTCAGCACTGCTGGGGCAGGGGGAGATGGCAAAGCAACGCCTAAGATTGAAAAGCCCTGAGCGAGGGAGGCTGATCCTTCCCGTGCCAGGCTCACCAGTGACCACCTTTGTCATGCAGGCAGCAGAACCCAGGACACGCTGTTAGTGCCAGACTACAGGCAGGAGCCTTTACAAGATGCTATTCCCCCAGCACAACGAGCCCCAAGGGATTTAGTGCTGGTATTCCAGATGAAGTGATGCTGATTGTTTCAGGCAATTAATACCGACATCAATTTATTGGCATCTTAAGGCCGGTGTTTGACCAGAGACAGATTCATTAACAAAAAATAGCTCAAATGCATGGCTGTCTCCTTCGGTCCCTTTCCCTATGTGCTAATTTCACTGGCTCCCTGTGCCAGACACTGGGCATTTCACAGCCCGATTGCATTATCGCCAACAATGGGCCTTTGGGACTCACCACGGCCACAAGATCAGCTGCTGATGAGCTGAAAGCAGTTCCTCTGGCAGAGTACTTGGCTCCTCTGCAGTCACACTTCATGGGATTTAACAGCCCAAACCAGCCTGTTCTGTAAGAAGGCTTTTAAAATTGAGTTCCTGCACACTGATGAGATGAATCAAGGTGAAAAAGCACACGTGCTTCTCACCGGAATGGCTTCTAAAAATCAATCAGCAAATACCACTGAGAGATATCCCTGCGTGTAAACAAGTTTGGGTTGGTTAGGCTGATGAAGTCAGCAGCCAAGACACAAAGCTCCTCAGCAGTTAAGTGGAGATCTACAGCTTGCTTTCCCTGAGTGGTTGTGTGATGCTCAGCACAGCAGAAAAAGCAGTGCTATAAATTCCGCTGCTATCAAGCTAGGAGGTGCCAAAACATTGCTTCTTATTCACACACAAATTTAATCAAAATTAAAAGGAGAACTACTGCACATCTTCCAGCCAATCATTTTGTTTTGTACCATGTGAAATAATTCCTGAGTATCAAGTTGAAGCAAATCAAACCCAAGCTGTGCAGCCAGTAACAGCTCTGTCACAGGGCACGATCACTCCGCCTGAGCAACTAGACTGACCTCACCCAGTGGCGCTGCAAGCCAATTCTCACCTCCTTGTCTCCAGCTAAACAGAAGACAACACAAGAATACAAACACCACAACCTGACAGGCAGAGGAGTTAAAGCCATAGGAGTTGGAAAGATTTCCGCTGAAAGTAAAGCCCTCCTGGACAGCCAACCCCTCTGCAGTGTTTCCCAGTTCCTAGCGTGCTCCGTGCAGCTTTACACAGCCAGCAGGAGCCGCTTTTAGGGAGGTGCTAAAATGAAGTGTATGGACCAGGAGGAAGAAATGGCAAAAGCTGACATGAAGGTAGGGTTTTATAAATTAAATGAACTTTATTTATAACTTGTCTTCAAAAGTCAAAAACATGACAAAAGTTAATTGCTCAGAAGCTTCAAAGTGCTCCTTAAATGTTTTGTCAGAATTGCATGGAAGTGCACTTAGAACAGTTGCAGAAATCTAGACTCAGGCCAATCTTTATCACAAAACTTTGTCATAGCCAGAACCTAGAAATCCCTACCCAACCACTAGCACATTGTAATCTCTTCACAGACCAAGCATTAGGAATCACCAACCCCACAACACAGTACTTTTCCCACACTGATGTATTTTTTCCCTAAGACTAAGATTGCAGTCACCAAGCAGATACCTCAGTGAGAATCTATACCAGCCTTACCACATTAGGGAAAGCACACCAAAACCAAGTTAAATATATTAGAAGCCACAAACTTGCTGGACACAAAGTTTAATCAAGATGTTTTAGCTAGGGTGCGTTTCATTTCTTAAGGGTAAGGCTATGCTGCAGTCTGCAGAGTGTGAAGTTTATTGGTCAAATAAATTGATTAGTACTCAGTTCTGTGGTGATGCAGGTCCACTGCTCCAATCAGGCATGCCAAGTTCAATGAGACCAGACATCTCAGCACTACTACTCCGATTTCCAAGTTCTGTTCGGGTCTCTGAGACTGCTTGATCTCAGCATATAGATCGTGCAATTAGTGTTAAACTAAAAATGAAACTCTACAATGAAAGTGTATAACTGAGTATCAAGTATCCATTTTCTATGAATTCAAACTTGTTTATATTTTACATTTTCTTTGAAAGCTATACCTCCATACTGTATGTATATGGAAAACAATCTAAGTACAGCTTCAGCTACCTTAGCGACATTTAAGTAAAAACAGGAATTCAAAATTCTTGTTAGAATCTGCAATGCAGAAGGCAGTGCTGTGCAAGTGCTACGGGTTATAAGTTTTGCTACCAGCTTGCCTTGAGGGATGGAACAACTAGGAATATATATATGAAATTTTTAGTTTACATAAGATACGGATATTGAAAAAGCTTCTGAATTCCCCTACAAGCATAAGGCTTAAGATTCCTAGAAAACCGATTTTTTAAACACCAATTTAGTAAGGCCAACAAATGATTAATATTTGCTATAACAGTTGAAAGTTATGCATTTTAGCTAACACCAAAGTTCTGTTTTCCAGGCAGGCTAGAAATTATGGTCAAAGTACGGAACAAAATCGTAATCAGGTGTAGAACTAAAGTGTTTTGAACTAGTTTCTTACTCAGCTTCAAACATTTTTGCTAAGGAATGTTGCAGTTTGAAGACATACTGAAGACATGTTTTCCATATAATTGAGAGGCTGTCTGTGAGAATTCGAACACTGGTAAACATGACATCACAGGCATCATAGGCCAGTTGAAACAGGAACTAATCTGGTGAGTTAGCACCTAGGGGTCTCACTAAAGGAAAAGAGCCACAAAGACACCTCTCATACTATCATTTAAGAAATGTAAACAAGATCAGGGGAAGAAGAGATTTACCAGCTAGTTCATGCCAGTCAATTTGGAGTATTTCTGGCTTTAGTCAAACTAGCACAACTGGCAGAAAGCAATCAGAAAACAGGCAGATGTGAAGGAAAACAGAACTGTCTCCTCCACGCTGACCTATAAATAATCTTTGTGTGAAACAAATAAGAAAATTAGCCTTATGTGGCTGAACAACATAGTCATATTAATAAAAACCAAGAATGATACCAAAAGATCAAACGGGGATTGAAAACTAAGATTCACGTCTTCCATATTTCTGAATGCCTGAGTTCATCTTGGCATGGACAGGGAGAAGTGCAAGAATGCTGGCCATTTCCCTCTCATGGAAGCTTGGTTTGACAGTTAGTCTTCTTTTTTATTTATCCCGCAAAGAACGCATCAAAACCTGTGCCATCATATCATCTTCATCGGCATCATAATCCTATGAACAAAGGGTACAGAAATTCTTTTACTGCCAGGGCCATATTGGTTAACACAACACAAAAACAGCTGTCTCCTCCTCTGACTTACCAATAATTCAACGTCTCTCATTATACCATCTGCAAGGACTACATTTTACAGTAGTGGCTACATAAAAAAAGCTGGGTTTTAAGAGTCATCAGGCTCACGTATTCCAAGGGTGAAGAAACACGTACCACAAAAGTATCGTATGAAAACCGGTGTCGTCTCTGAAGGTGTTCCATGAAGTTAGCACTCCTGTAATTTGGATCTCCCCACGGCATCGAGGCACAAATTGGGCAAACCTTTGAGAAATAAATAAAAAAAGCCCCAACAATTAAGTGCTTCAACATTTATACTAGAAGAGGTAGGACAGAGACTGTGGAAAACTGAAGATTGAGATTCATAACTATCATTATTCTGTACGCAAAGTGACATCAGTTACTTTGCTGGGTCATTCACAGAAGCCTCTGATAACCCTGAATTATTTAAATTCAGGTCTTAGACCTTTGAATAGGAACAGTGTAGTCTTCTCTACATATTGTAAATTAGAATTGATCACAGCTGCTTGCTTTAGAAGATTTCAGGCTTCATTTCTCAGTGACAGAGAAGTTTCCCTGGTCACTTTGAAAGATCACCTCTCTCCAATAATTTTTTTTTCCTAAATAAATTTGGGATTTCAAAGAATTTTAAAGACAAATGAAAGCTTCAAACTCAATTCCAAGTTTTGCAACTACTTTTATAGAAGATACAGTATCAGCAGATAAAGACTACTAGAAATATATATTTTTCAATCATTTTTTCCACAGTAGTTTATAATCCCTTATTACTGAAGACAGATTTTTTTCAAATTACTGTATTAATTGTATGACTGTTGCTGTGCCTAGTTCACTTTGAAAGCCTACCACTTTGCAAGTATGAGACAAATACGTGAAGTAGATGCAGTATGAATTGAGATTAGTCACCTTCAGAGAATGGATCGAAAAGCAAAATTAAAATTATGTAGAACTTAAAGTAAACAAACAGCATACCCACATTTGACTTTAACAGAAGCAATTATAAATATGTACTTAACTTCAAGCAGTAAGTCTCTAATTCATTGTTTCAAAGGGATTTAAGACTAGACTTCATTGCAATTCCTGCACCAAGACTTTTTATTACCACTTGTTTTGCATCCATGCTGTGCAATGTTTTGCAGTGCTCAACTAGTCCTTCTTGATCAAAGTTTTTCTCGCTGCAATATGGACAAGGAAAGGTGAAGCGATTGGGGAAGTTCCTAATTGAGGGAGAAAAAAATAAGCAATTTATTATTTCCATAGAGTTAGAAGTACAAAACATTCTATCATTTTCAAAAAGTTGAAAGATTTGGGATTCACTACTCTGAAGTTATCTTACTAGCTACTAAAAATTAATCTATGCAATTAAGACAAGCAGATTTTAAGAATCAGCCTTTTAATTCCTGACGATATCTCAAGGAACTCTTAATGTCATACATTTTTACATAAAAATATTTCTATAAAGCCTACAAGTGACATGTATTATTATTTTTTATTTATTTTTTACTTTTTAAATGCATGGGGTACCACCCAGAATGCTAAAATGGAGATAAGCAAGCTGCAGTCAGCTCCAAATTCCCTCCATTACTAGCATTAAAAGACAGAGAGACAGTTATTATTAAAGAAATGTTTCTGCCAGGTACCCTGATCTTGTCTTGTGCATAGACGACATAAAAAAGGCAAAGAGTTTGTTTATGCACAGTCAGTTACAGGATAACGTTTTTTTTGTTGCAAAAGGATTAACAATTAACGAACAAACTGAGTGAAAAGGTAATGTCTGCTTTTACTGCAGAACTCTACAGTTTGCACGAACGACCATAATGCAGTTTAAAACAACAAAAAAAGCTAGAAGACCTCTTCTAGGAATCAAGTCCGAGACTTTATAACAATTTTTCAGCCCTCTTTTTGTGATCTTAAAGGCAAGTGTTTCCAGAGAACACCAGGTTACCTGGTGTTGTGGAGTGGTTCTTTAGTCACAGCTTTCACACCTTCCATGATATAGTTCTGGTACTTTGAACAAGAAGCTGCGTGGCTGCGCATCTTTGAGAGAAACATCTGTGAAGACAATTACATAGGAATGTTAATTTAAATTACTTGCACTCACTTCCACAATTCCAAGCAGAAGTAGAACACAAATAAAGCAGCTTACTGCAGACAGTGCTAAGGCAGGAAAGAAACAGACAGTTCAGCTGGTAAGGTGGAAAGCTTTAAGATTACAGATTAGTTAACCTATAACTTTGCTGCCTGTAACATTCTACAAATACAGTACTGTTTAGGACAGCTTACTTGACTTAACCCATGTTATAACATGAGAAAATGTACTTTATAAAAAGCCTGTTTACCTCACTGCTGAGAAGGGGCCATAAATGAAAAATGAAATTTGGCTTTTAGCACAGACTGCAGCATAGATTTAATTACAGGTTGAACAACTAGTAATCAGCACACCGCAATTTTCTATTGGCTACAACGATGAAAAGGCTAACCTGAAATTAAAAGTGAAATCAACTGAACAGTGCTGCTCTCACCTTAGCGTCTAGTTATCCTTTTCTTTTGTTGTTTTGCCATCAGTTAAGATGCTCTGTTCTAGACTCAGTGCTAAGTAGTCTAACTTTAAAAAGAGAAAGGAACCAACAGGAAGACGTGGTGCATGTATTCAACATGCAGGACACCAACAGCACCTCCACAGAATGTAACTGCTCGAATAAGTAAAGTGGGTCTTTTAACTGTTTCAAATGAAACAAATAAACTTCTGTTTAAGAGCTTAGGTGATCACTATCTAAAATCATATCCACTCTTTCACTATGATGGTCCTCCCACAAGCTCACAGAATCTGCTTCAGAAGCAGCATTTTACTGTTATTTTTATAACAACATCTCTCACTTGAAATCCACTTCCTGGGGAGGTAACAATAAACCAAAAAAACTGTTGAAAGAATATCAACACTTGGGTGCTGCCTATATAGAATATCAGCAGCACTTAGGAAAACAATTTGACCCAATTCCATAGAAAGCAGAAAGCAATTTGCCTCCCTGGAAGCAGTAGTGCTGTACAGGCACACCACGCACCCCTCATTCTGAAGCCCCCCTGTACCTTTTTGTTGCAGCCGTTACAAGTGGTTTCTGTCACTTCGATCTGCTTTTCCAAGTCCAGAGCCCTGCTGCCAGGCGCCAGGGCGCTGCGGCAGACACCACAGACTGGCTTTTTGAGCTTCAGGCACTCCTGCAGGCATGGCGTACAAAACCTGGAGGGGGAAAAGGAAAGAGAAACCAGGATGAGAGGCGGTGGGAGGAGCGCTCCTGGCAGCCCAGGCCCTGCTGGCATGCAGCCCCGGGGAGAGGCAGCACCACAAGCAGGTACGCTCAGCCTCCGTGCCCTCCAGGAGAGAAAGCCACGGAAAATATTAAATAACGGCAGATTTTAGTGTCGGTCAGAGAGGCCTTGGGGCAGCCACAGGGGGGGTGAGCAGGGGGCGAGCGAACCACGCCTGCCTCAACCCCCACGGTCCCCCAGGCCGAGGCAAGGCCCTGAGGGCCCGACCGGGAGGGCCCCAACCGACACCGGGCCTAGGAGCGAGGCGCAGCCCCCAGCCCCCAGGCCTCAGCCCGACCACAGCCCCCCGGCGCCGCCCCCAGGCGCTCACACGTGTCCGCAGGGGACGCGCACGGGGCTGTCGAACACCTCGAGGCACACGGGGCAGGTGAGGCGCGCCAGCGGGTCGGGCCGCTCCAGGCCGCGGGCGGAGGGCGCGCAGGACGCCGAGGAACCGCCACCGCCCCCCGCCACCGCCATCTCGCCGGCGGCCGCCGCACGGCCACGCCCCTTCCGCCCCGAGGCCACGCCCCCTGGTGGGCGGGGCACAGACGGAGGGGGCGCTGCGGATGGGCGGGCGCTGCCTGGGGGCGTGGCCTAACGGAACGCAGCGGGCAGCCGCTGGGGGCGGGGCCTGTTGCTAGGGGCGGGGCCTGTTGCTAGGGGCGGGGCCTGTTGCTAGGGGCCCGCCCCGCCGCATGGCGTCACCCGCCGGAAGTGCCCTCGCAGCGGGAGGCGGGGCTTCCCTCCCCCGCCATCCACTTCCGGGGCGCTCCCCCGCCGAGGGCCGTGCCTGGGCTGCCCCAGCCACCGCCGGGGGCGGCCCCGCGTCTGCTTCCGGGTCACGGGGCGTTTCCGGCAGAGCGGCGGCGGAGAGGAGCGGAGCGGGGAGGGCCGGGCCCGGCGCGGTGCGTGAGGGGGCGGTGGAGGCGGCGCCTGGAGGGGCTCGGGGCCGCGCTGACGGGCGGGGGCGGTGTCCTGGGGCCGCGTCCTGGGAGGGCGGGAGCGGCCGCGGCTGGGGGCCGGGGGCGCTTGGGCCCCGCTGGGCGCTGCTCCGGGCCGCTCGGCTGCGTGAGGTGCTGCCCGGTGGCGCTTTGGGTCGAAGTGGTCGGTTCTTGGGTCCCGGTGAGCTCGGTTCTTCATTAGCCGTTTGGGAAAGGCGCGGTGGCTGTGGGTTTATCGGTGCCGGCAGCACGAGGGCCTGTCCTGTGCCCGTCCTGCACGCAGGGGCTGGGGTGTGCGAGGCTGCGCAGCCCGGGCCCCGCCGCTGGCCCTCTCGGTGGGGCTGTGACCCCGCAGGGCTGCAGCCCCGCTGTGTCCCTCCCAGACCCTGCTCAGATCTCACTGTTCACGCCTTTCCCTGGGATTTTGGGGCTTTCCTTGAAAAATCCTCAGCAAAACATCTCCGTTGCTTTACCCGCTCCTCCAGCTGCTGTTTGCAGCACTATATTTATCCCTGCCTTCTCGCACGCAGATTTCTGCCGGCCCCGTAACCATGGTTGTTCGCCGCGTGCGGGCTGCCTCGGCTGAGCGTGTTCTGCTCCCACACGGGCAGAGGAGCAGTGCTGCAGAGGCTGGCTGTCATGCCTCACTCCTCGGCTGCTTGAGCTCTGGCATGTGCAGCAAGCACGGCAGGGGTGGGGCTGGCAGCACCGCTGAATGTCACAGTTCACGGCGTCTCGAGTCTCTCAAAGGAAGTCCCTTCCTTCCCTGCAGGGACTTTCCTAGCCCTGAGGTCTCGTACACACAAGCAAGCTCTGTCACTGAGCAGTTATTAACATTGGAGATGGAAGAATTGTGATATTTAATCCTTACTAGCACGAGATCCCTGCTTACCCTCAGGGTGTGTTAGCAGTGTGCCGAACAAGGATTTTTCTCTGAAGCCCTGTCATAGAGCTCTTCTTGCTAAGTAGCAGAAATTTGGTCTGATTTCTCATCTTGTACAATTTCAGGAGAAAAGAGCTAGGAGAGAGAACTCCTCATGGAGAGGGCTGAACTAACTTCAACTTCTGTCCCTTGTGCTCTTCCTCTTGGTTCACAGTTGCAAAGTGCTAGGTCATGCTAATTTAACAAAGAAAGCTTTTTAACCACAGTTGAGAGAGTCTGCTGGCCTGCTCCTTACCTGGCTTTGGGAAGGTAGCGTGGAGAGGCTTGTTTGGGCACTAGCTTCTTCTGTGTTGTATGGGACCTCAGTAAGGTGAAGAAGTAACTGTACCTGCCTATGTGGTGTTGAAGCAGGAATGGCTTTGCTCTGCTGTAATAAAGTAGCTAGAAATGGCAGTTGTGGCTCTTTGTTGAAAAGATTGTGATCTTTGCACCTGCTAGCGTTCAGCCAAGGCTCTGGCTGCACTTCAGTGTTGGGGGCAGTGCCTTCTGTAGGCTGAGCACCTTCTGTAGGGTGGCTTGAAAACACTCGGCACGGGGATGGCCCAGGTGTGCCATCAGGTGGAGTAGGGGCAGCAGTCAAAAGCCTGGAAAATGGTAGAATTAAAAAAGTGAAGGGTATGAATCTGTTTGGTCTGTGAGCTGTCCTGTGCTACTGGGGGAAAGAAAAAAAAAAAACAAAACAAAACAAACAAACAAACAAAACTAGATGCCTTCCCAATTTGAGCAAAATGAAACTCTGTGGGATTTTTTAATCTGTGTATTGCTGTGCAGGGCAAAAAAAAACACCGATTAAAATCATGTTTGCGTAAGTTGTTTGAACCAAAAGGGTGAGATCAAAACTTGAGAGAAGTCCTGAAACAAACAAATCAACAAAATGCCCTCATTTTTTCCTCTCAGTCCTTTGCTGTGAGTTACTTTTGTCTTGGCTCCCTGACCCAAGGGATCTTCAAGCTGGACACGCGCCTACACAGACTTTCTTTCATTGATTTGAGTTTATTGCACTCTGTTTTAGGCAGATGACTCAAAAAAGCAGTAGTGAATGCAGGGAGAAGCAGGACATCAGCCTTCCTGGAGGTGCTTGCGCTTTTTCAGAGACCTGGAGAGGCTGTTCCAGGAGCTCCTGCTCTGCAAACCATTTTATAGAGTCCTGTGAAGCAAGTAGAGGCTGGGGACAGCTGAGATTTGTGCAGCGGTGCTGACTTGTCTTTGTTTGCAATTTCTGTTCCAGAGGAGTTGCCGTTGCTGAAGATTTGTAATGTCAGATACTCAACCCACTGCCGAAAAACCATGAGAGAGATGAGGTAGCTTCCCTGGTGTGATACAAAAGCTGAGTTCAATGGATACAAAATACAAAGACGATTTATTTAGGAAGTATGTACAGTTCCATGAGTGCAAACTGAGTGTCTCTGACAACAAGCAGCGTCCTATTAATGATGAGTATTTGCGAGTGGCAGCGTCCGCCTTATTTTGCCTTCCCAAAATTGATCCCTTTTATAGATTCCGGTTGATAAAATTTTATGAGATGGCTGAAAACTCACTGAGAGCTCTGAAATCCTCCAGTTTACATTCTCTCCATAATGCATTCAGCATGCTTGAGACGGTTGGAATCAATCTCTTCCTTTATCCCTGGAAAAAGGAGTTCAAAAACATTAAGGTAAGACATCTTCTACGTGGCAGTAGTGAGAATGTGATTTATTTTGCTTTTTTAAAACATTTCACGCGTTTCCCTTAAGACAACTCTTTTTTCCTGCACATTAGGGTAATGTCTGTATGTAGAGCTGGTAAGCAGGAGCTGTAAGAAAGGTAAAATGCAAAGTTTGTGCTGGTGAGGCTGTCCTGACAGCAGAAGTATAAGCTCTGTCTGCATTTCTGAAGTAATTCCTCAAACAGAGGAAGAGCTTATTTTAAGGTTTTTGGTCACCTGTCCTATTACTGTCCTAATATCTTCTGAGAGATGCTTTTACTAGGGTGAGTGATTAAGTCGTGTTTAAGCTCACCTGTAGCTTTGGTTTAATGTTCCAACAGCTATTAACGTAGTCTAAGTACTAACAATCAGTGCAGGCTTTCAAGTGGACACTTTGCCGGGGTTCCCATGCGTTATGTGATAATGGTAAAGGAACTTCTCTGAAATATTTCCAGAATATTTTTGCTTGTCAGTTCTCAATTAATGAGATTTTGATTTTAATGCGCCTTCAAATTATCTGTGCCAGGACCTCACAGTGAAGTGCAGGAACTCATGCATTGCTCGGCCTGAGTGCTGGAAGACAGCTACAAGTTCTCTGCTGACAATTTTTTGTTTTGTCTTTTGCCTGTCCTTACATTCTTACTCAAAGCTCCTGCAGCGTTTCCATAAGGGTTACTGCAGGTGACCTCAACATTTGAGGCTTGAAAGTTGGATAAAAACATTTTTGGTTTATTTTCGTCTTTTGCAGGTTGCGTGTGCCAGTGAGATGGGTGTTTTTGCTTTTTTCCTAAGATGCTTTTGCAATTTAGCAGAGAATTTGAGTGGTTCACTTTATAGATCCATAGAATGGTTTGGGTTGGAAGGGACCTTAAAGATTCTCTAGTTCCACCCCCCCTGCAGTGGGCCGGGGCGTTTGAGAGTCGTCTTTCTCCAAAGAGAAAACTGGTCCTTTCTTCACTGTACCTTTATCACTGTGCTTAAGTTCTGCCCTTGGAGTGCTGGCTGATCTATCCAGGGTATGTCTTGATGTGCTGGTGTTACTGGCTTTGGTTGTGCATTTTGGATCCAGTATTGTTCTTTACAAAGACACGGTGGCCAGGCTATTCCTCCCTGTGATCCAGAACAACTCCAGCTGTTAACAGCATGCCTCAGGTATGGCAGGTGCTAAGGGAACTTCAGCTTGTGCAAACTCCCCTCCATATTTGGGCTTTTTTAGTGGAAACTCTTGACCTGATACTAGATTAAAGAAAATAGGCACTGAAGTTGCATAGTAATTATACACCCGCAGACACCTCCACACAGAAAAGTGCATCTGAGTATATTTAAGCCTGAATCGAGGAGGGCTGCGGTGCTCTTGCAGGAATACCGAGCTCTTGTTATCTTCAGCTGTCGCCTGTCCAAGGGGAATGCATTAAATCTCTGCCTTTTGGCTTTTATGCTAGACTTCTAAACAGAGACATTTCTGGTACGTGTAAGAGTTAGTGTACAGGGTAGTGAATTAAATCAGCAAGGAGGACATTATGCTAATCAGGCTTTCAGTTTGAACCAAAGTTCTCCTACTCTGAATTTGCCTCATGCAGAATTTCCATGTGCTGAACAGGAGGGAGGCAGAAATGGAGTTTGTCTTGCCATGGGAGACGTGTGTGTTCTCTGTCATCGTTCTGTTTAATTCTGTAGTATCTGTCACTGAACTATCTGAACATCTAGTCCACTGAATTTGTAACCTAGTTTTCCTTTTATTCTCCACCCCACCTCCTTAGACCTACACTGGACCCTTTGTTTATTACGTGAAGTCTGCTCTAACTGAAGATGATGTAAGGCAGATTCTGAACTACATGGGCTATGTCCAAGAACTGGGAACAACATACAAGCTCAAAGAGCAGGTTGATGCCATCCAAGTGAAAATGGTTTCATTTGAACTCTTTTTGGCCAAAGTGGAATGTGAGCAGCTCCT